CCTCGCTTAACTCTTGGATCCTGAACTGAGTGATGGGCCACATCGTGCTTTCTTTGTGAGCCTCAGTTTCCCTCTGTCTGGTGGAGTTGATCGGCTGAGGGTCAGAGGTTATCAAGGCAGGGCTGTGTGAATGTTGCTCAATGTTGTGGGCTTGGAGCCGAGGTGTTCAGGAAGGAGGCGATTCTGGGGGACACAGCTCACTCTTACCAAGAACAACCCCAACCTCTTTCCTGTGGGGATCTGTATGGGTGTGTGTGGGTTGGACCCCTGAGGATCCTCAAGGTTGGGGCCTGCCGCTTCCTTTCCAGGGCCATGACTGGAAGCTGGGGAAAAAAAGTAGCAAAAGCACAGCCTGGGCGTGGAGTGAGTGTTGCTGGGGTGGTGGGATCTGAGACACTGTTTGCTGGGGCAGGCGCCAGACTCAGTGCTGACTTGGTCACCAGCTGGGTCAACCTGGGCAGCCACACTGAGCCTGTTTTTTTCTTTTTTTTTGGTACGGGGGATCGAACTCGGGTCCTTGCACTTGCAAAGCGGGAAGCAGGGAGCGGAACCACTGAGCTAAATCCCCGGCCCTTAATTTTTAATTAATTAATTTACAGTATTGGGGATTGAACGTAGGAATTTTGCATTGAACTACATCCCCAGCCCTTTAAAATTCTGAAAAAGGGTCTCATTAAGTTATTAACTTGCCCAGGTTGGGCTCAAATTTGGAATCATTCCCACCTCAGCCTCCCAGAGTGCTGGGATTACAGGTGTGTGCCTTGTTCAGCCTCAGTATGTTAATCTGTGAAACCAGAGTGACAGGCTTCTTTTGCTCCCAGGGCTGTGGGAAAGGGTGAGCCAGGGTCTGGGAAAGGCCCTGGATTCCACAGCAGAGCAGAGCTGTTTGTTTTTTTAAAAAAAACAAATGGAGGTGAGGGGCCAGGGATAGCTCAGTGGCACTGAGCCTGCCTGGCAAGCACAAGGTCCTGAGTGTGATCCCTGGTACAGGGGAAGGGGGGACAAAAAACCAAACGGAGGTGAAAATTCATAGTCTGCAGTTAACCATTTACAGCTCAGCAACATTTAGTGCTGTGAAGCTACCGGCTTTCTCCAGTTTGATCCTAAGGAAGGACTAACAGCTTTTTTTTTTTTTGAAGCAAAACATTTATTGGTACATTTTAGATGTACATAATAACATTGAACAGCCTTTTGAGGATAGGAAATGACTCTACTTGGACCCTGACCATGGGAGGACCAACTTTGGCTCCTGGGTTATTTTGTTTCTTTTTTTTTTTTAACTCTTGGGACCTTGCCCTTGCAGAAATCCCCCTACTGAGCTAAATCCCCCTGGCCCCTCCTGAGTTATTTTGTAACCATAAATAATAATGATGTTACATGGTGTTTTTGCCAGTGAACGATTTACAAATATGGACTCACTTAATCTTTACATCAACCCCAAGGGTGGGATGTTGCTACATTACCTGTTTCACTCAATTGGCCCCAAATCACAGAGCAGGTAGGCCTGGGAGCCAGGATCTCCCTTGCTGTGTTCTGGGGGGTGGGCACAGAGGTACTGCCTTCCCCTTGCCAGCCCCAAATGTTACTAAATCAAATCTGAATTAGAATGTAAGAAAGCAAAGAAGGCAATTTCTCAGCTTCCTTGCCCAGGGTGCTCAGTAGCCATGTGAGGCCATGGTCCAGCACAGGGACAGACCGGCCACCTGTGGTCCTATTGGTCTGGCACTGCTGCATGTTGTATATTTACCCAATCCCCACCCGATGGACACACAGGTTGCTTCTGATCTTGAGGGTGACTGAGCAGGCAGGGGAATCCTTCCCCAGGTTGTTGTGTGACTGTTCTGTGGGTGGTGCTTTAGATGGGCATTGTTGGGGCCTGGAGCCAGTCCAGCGCTGCCCCTGGCTGTGTGCCTGAGTGACCTTGAGTTGTCACTTGTCCTTTGTAGGAAAGGCTCATGTGAAGGTATAGTGGCTGCTGAAAAAGTGATTAAGTGCACGCAGTGCTCGTGAGTTCCGCCCGACACCGCTGGCACCATTGGGGATGGTAATTTACTGGTACATGTCTGTGCTAGGGATTTTGACACTGGGTCGATGGTCTTGGCTTCTAAGGTGTCAGGTGAAATAATCCCTGGGGTGCACAGGTGGCAGAGAAGAGGCCTGCTCTTAACAGGGGGCGGCCCAGGACCAGCGTGGGGGGGCCAGGCTTCTGCTCAGCCCAGTGCTGGAGGGAGGGGACCCCTCCTCAGTTTGGGCTTTCTCAAAGGGAGAGACCAGTGAACACTAGGCCTGATTGTCACTGCTCCTGGACCCCCGTGGCCTGGGCTTTGCTCAGTGACCTTGGTGGCCACTGCTTGTTCCCCGGGGTGGGTGTGAGCAGCTATAGGATGGAGCAGAGGAGCGCAGGTCACTGAGGGGCTCAGTTGCAATCTGGAGGTGCTGGCCATGTGTGGAGGGGACAGCTGCTGCCTCATTCCTGCCTCAGGAAGACTGGGCAGTACAGCCAGGATGGCATGTGGCCTCCCACACTCCCTCTTTTTTTTTTCCCTGCACTGGGGATTGAACCAAGGACCTTCACACTCAGGGCTCAAACTTTTGATTCTCCTGCCTCAGCCTCCCAGAGTGCTGGGATTACAGGTGTGCGCCACTACACCCGGTTCCTTGGGTTTTTTAAGCCCCTTTCTGTCCTGGATCCTAACTTGTGTCTTTGTGCTCTGGTCCTGTGAGAATTGGAACTGATTCTCAGACGGCCCTGGAGTGGAGCATCTCTTGGGGGCCAGGCCATGGGCACAGGGCATGTTGGGGAAGCAAGGCAGAGAGTTCTCCTGTCAGGAAGGGAGTCGTCTGGGATGCGGTGTATAGACAGACACTGCACACATGGTTAGGCTGAGAGGTCTGTTTCCAACTCGTCACAGGTGGACCCTGCTTGGATTGTGTGGCTGTGTGTGAGGTCTTCTCTGAGGCTCAAGGAAGGCCACCAGGTGGGGATGAGAAGGGGTTGGGGATGGGGTGCAGGTCCCCAAAAGGGCCGAGGGGGGCCGATCGAGGCAGGCACCAGGGATGTGAGCAGTGGGAAGGTGATCGGCTTCAGTCTGACTGACTTGGGGAGGCGGTGGGGACAGTGCGTCCGTGCAGACCACCCCTGCCCTCGTGGCTGAAGTTGAGGGACCATGCACCTCCTTTTAGAGCTGCAACTAGGTGCCCGAGAGAGTCCTTGGCTGCCCCCACCAAACTTGGGACGAGGGAGCTTGAGCACTGTTGAGTGCCTGTGGCGGAGCCGTTGGTGGCATCCGGGCTCCAACGTCCTGCGGGGCCCCGGGGTGCTGCTGGGCGCTTTCACAAGCCCGGGCAGGGCCAAGCTGGGCCTCGGCTTCCGTGCAGCTGGGGCAGGAAGAGCTGGCAGCTGATGTCAGCCCTTGCGCAAACCCCCTGCCTGTGGCTTCCGGAGCCTGCCGCCTGGCGTGTCGAGGAGGAAGCCGAGGGCTCAGCGGGGCCCAGAGGCCGTGCTGCCTGGCCCGGCCACCGCATGGATGCACTGACCAGCCCCGGTGGCCCTGGGGCCCAAGGCTTCGGCCCTGAATCCGGGTGAGGGGCTGGGCTGGGGAGTTCGGCCGGGCCTGGGGTATGTGAAGGGGCCTGTGCCCCAGGGTGTGGCTCTGGACCGGGGAGGAGGCCTTGCCCTTTGTGAACTCAGTTTCCTCAGGCACACCCTGTAGTAGGTGTGCTGGACTTTTTGGGACTCTGTGCCCCTGGGAGTTGATTGGTGGCATGGTATGCAAGCCTTGAACAGTACAGCTGCTGGGGATCTGAGGTTGGGCTGAGTACAGTCCTGTGGGCTGGACTAGGGCCCTCATGCCCATCTGGGTGCCCCTTGCAAAGTCACTATCTGTGCCACCAGCAAACAGTGCCCACCTCTGGGACTTAGGGCTTCTGGGTGCAGGGCTAGTTCTTGGGGGGCTGACTGGTGGGTGCTCAGTGACCTCTGTGCCTGCCATAGGTTCAGGGGTCACAGCCTCCCCTGGGGTGAGGTTGGGGGAATCTGGACTCAGCTGCCAAATGCTCAGGGCTAGGCACACCCTGCTGCTGGTTGTTGCTGCCACTACTGTCATTATCACTTTTTTCTTCATCACACCAATGCTGAATGCCTGTCCCTTCTTCCCTGTAGTTCTCAACAGGAGGCACGTTGGCCCCATTCTGCTGATGAGCAGATCGAGGCCCGGCCCAGGGCCTGCAGGCTGCCATAAGTTTGCTGTGGAGGGTCCCGGGAAGGCACTGGGAGCTGCTGAGGCAAAAACCCTGGGTGGCAGCCAGAGGCGTCCTGCTGGCTGGGGCGTGGCAAGTGTGCGCCTGGTTTCCTTCCACAACACTCTGCCACCTCGTTGCCCTCGTTGCCCGTGGCAGGGCCCGTTCTCTGGAGGCACAGCCCTGGGCAGGGCTCCCTGCACCCGTAACAGCTCCTTGCCTCCTCTGATTGATGAGGGACTCTCTAATCACCCACCACAGCTCAGTGCCAGGTTTCTCATCATTTTTTTGGTACCGGGGATCGAACTCAGGACCTTGCGCTTGTGAGGCAGGCGCCGGAACCACTGAGCTAAATCCCCTGCCCTTCAGCTTTCTCATCTGTGAATTGGGCACAGGCAGCCAGCTAGGCGCCTAGCCCATGGGCCAGGCTGCTGTGGGGTCCTCTCTGGTCAGGAGCTCTATAGGGCTTGGAATATGAGCCCCTCTACCCCCTTGCTCTGTGGCCTTGGGCTCCCACCTGCTGATGGGATGGAGAAGGGTATGGCCTGGACCCGGGTTGGCTGTATGAGGTTGTGAGGGCCTGAGGGAGGGTGAGGGTGAGGGTGAGGTCTGCGGAGTGGCCTCCTTCTGCCTGGCTTCCTGGGGTCACACAGCCTTCTCTAGCCCTGGGAATGTGGGGCAATCTCTTTGGTGTTCCTGCAGTGGGGGAGTGATGGGGGTCTCGGGGCTCCCGTGGCCTGACAGCCCCCTTCTCTCTGCAGGCGAGGCCTTCTTGGGCAGCTTCGTGGCCAGCGGGATGGGGCCCTCGGCTTCATCCCAGGGAAGCCCAGTGCCCCTGCCCTCTGACCTCTCCTTCCGCTCCCCCACCCCCAGCAACCTGCCCATGGTGCAGCTGTGGGCCGCCCATGCCCATGAAGGTAAGGAGCATGCCAGGTGGGTGGGGCTGGGGGCTGCTGGGCCATTGCCACATCACTCTGGCAATTTTATGTCCCTAGCACTTCTCAAGTTTGCCCCCTCCTCTGCCTTTATAGTCACGGGCCCGGCCCTGGCTACCATCACTTCCATGGTCTCAAATGGTCAGTGCTTCCTCTTGTTGCTGCCGCAAGGACTTTGCACGAGCTGTTTGTGCTGCTTGCAGCCCCCTACCCCAGCCCCTGGGGGGCTTCTGCTCTCCTTCAAGGCCCAGCCCAGGCACCTTCCTCTCCTGTCATTCCCTTGGTGACGGCGGATTCACCTGTATGATTATTCCCAAACTGATGATTCCCACCAGAGCGAGCCCTCCCTTGATGCACAGGAGGCTGGTTAATAATTGTGGGAGCTACGGTCCTGGATCCCTGGCCTCTTTGGTTGTAGCTCTGAAGAGACACCAGATGTGGGGCCTGCCCCCCACCCCCCAACAAAATGCTAAACCTCCTCGAGTCCCCTTCCCCTCCTCTGTCCACAAAGGCAGGGCCTTGGGGACCCCTGAGCGTCTCCCCATCCCTGGCTCTGGTGGATCTTGGATTCCGGGTGCTAGCACCCTCCTCGGGCTTCCCCTGGTGCTGAGGGTCCTTGGGGCCTTTCCCAGACCCCTGCCTCTCCTTTTCCTCCCAGGTGTGGGGCTGAGTGCCCACCAGCACCCCAAATCCACCCGCATGGACTCCTTCCCAAGACTCCCTTTTTTCTTTTGCTGACCAATCTTGGGGAGAATGGTGATGATAACAATTCTGGCAAACCCATATGGCACTTGATTATCTCAGCCACTGGGCCTCCAAACTCATGTCCTTCTCAAGGCCAGGGTAGGGGCTGTTGTGCCCATTTTACAGATGACAGCAGAGGGTCCTGATGCCTCCCTTGGAGCTGTTTCAGCGTTTAGATGAGATCATCTGTGTCTGGTGATCCTTTTTGTTTTGTGATAGTTGTTAATGTCATTAGCAGGAGAAAAAGCCAGGGACAGGCCCTGCGTCCCTGGCCTCACAGGGATAATTAGGGACATGGGATACCTGGGTCCCTTGGGCACTGTCATTAGGACCCCAGGTCCAGCTTATGGCCCTTGCTGGGACCCCAGGACCTGGCCAACTGGCCTCCTAGGCCCTTACTCCCTGTGTGCCTCCATAGGCCTTTTTGCTTCTCTGTCCATGGTTATGTTTCCTGTTAGTCCTGCAAGGCTCTGTTATGGTGTCACTAGTGGGGCCTTTCAGGAGGCTGGAGGAGTCCTAGCTCCTCCTGGGAGATCCCGGCAACCAGAGATGCTGCGTCCACTAAGGTTCAGAGAAGGTGACTGACTGTCTTAGTTACTGTCTCGTCACTGGGACACAATACCCGACTACCACAAGTTAAAGGAGGAGAAGTTTATTCTGGCTCACAGTTTGTAGAGGTTTCAGCCCATAATTGGCTGGCTCCAAGGCAGGGTGGCACGGCAGAGGAGGAATAGTTGCTGGCACAGCAGGCAGGAAGCTGAGAGGGATCAAGGGAGGGGGGAGGGAGACAGGCCCTTCCAGGCCACGCCCCCAGTGACCCACCTCCTTCCACCCGGCCTCACCTCCCAACATCACATTTAGCTATAAACTCATGCCGCCATGATCCAGTCACCTCCCAGAGGCCCCACCTATGAGTGCATGAGGCTTTGGGGGACAACTAGATATAAACCCTAACAGACCAGTGCTGGGACACAATAGAGAAGGGGCCCATTAAAACCAGTCATCTGCCCAGTACTTTAGGAGGCCGAACTGGAGGATTTCAAGTTTGATCCCAGCCTGGGCAATTTAGTGATTTAGTGAGATCCTGTCTCAAAGGAAAAAAAATGGGGGAGGGGTGCTGAGGATGTAGCTTAGTGCAAAGGCCCTGGGTTCAATTTTCAGTACCAAAAAAACCCTAGAAAATAAAAAACACTACTTAGTCAGGGTGCACGCTGGCTCTGAGGTTAGGAATCCAGGCTGTCGGGCCTGCTGACCTCGGTTCAAAGCCAGGCCCATGCTGTGTGTCCTGGGCGACTGGTCCTCTGGGAGCCTGAGTTTTCTATAGAATGAGAGGAAAAAGACTTGGGCCTTCCAGGGTAGTTCTGAGGTTTAAATGACAGTAACAATGGCAAAGGAGAGAGTGTTTAGGATCTCCCAGATGGATCCAATCTGATCCTCTTCCCAAGGCCTGAGGGCTGCCTGGGGCTGGGGGCGTTAAATGGCAGGGTTGGGAGCACAAGTCACTCTGGGGCTGGACTTAGGCCTCAGGCTCTCTGCACCGGAAGAGCCACAACGAGCTGGGTGGTTTCTTTTCAAGAAAGAGATCAGGAGGCACCAAGTGCTGCAGCCCTGGACTCTCCCCTCCCCAGGCTTCTCCCACCTGCCCAGTGGGCTGTACCCCTCCTACCTCCACCTGAACCACCTGGAGCCCCCCAGCAGCGGGAGCCCCCTCCTCAGCCAGCTGGGCCAACCCAGCATCTTTGATACCCAGAAAGGTTAGTGGACAGGAGTGGGTGGGACTGGGGGGCTGGGGAGGGGATGGCATGGGGACTTTGCCGAACTTGTCTGGGTCCCTCATTAGCATCCCAGCAGTTTACATTATTGTCCTGGTAGGCAAGTGCTCTGCCCAAGATACAACCCCACCCAAGATACCTTTTTATTTTTCTTTTGAGACAGGGTTGGCTGTGTAGCCCAGGCTGGCCTTGAATTTGGATTCCTCCTGCCTCAGCCTTCTGACTGCTGGGATTACAGGCTTGTGTATTGTGCCTGGCACTAAGATGCCTTTTTGTATTTTTTTTTTTTTGGAGACTGGGTCTCACTGCATAGTGGACTCGCTATGTAGCCCAGGCCTTGAACTCATGGCAATTCTCCTGCCTCAGCCTCCGGAGTGCTGGGATTTCAGGCGTGTACCACCATGACTGGCCTAAGATGCCTTTTTAAAATTTTTGTTTTACTTATTTATTTGTGTGTTTGGTACTGGAGATCATATTGAGGTACATCCTCAAACTTTTTATTTTATTTTTTAAAATTTTGAGACAGTCTAAGTTGCTAAATTGCCCAAGCTGGGCTCCAATTTATGATCTTCCTGACTCGGCCTCCCAAGAGTGCTGAGGTTACAGGCTTGTGCATCATGCTTGGCTCCAAGATACCTTTTTGAGCCCTCACCCTTAAGCTCCCCCACAGGCTCACTGGGGTGCCCATAGCCTTCTAGCCCCTTTCTAGTTAGGCCCTCAGGGCAGCTTTAAAACAACTCTGGCCTCTTCCCCTTTTGCAGATGAGGAAACTGAGGCACGGGAAGGTTAGAAGCCCAAGGTGAGATTTCACCTCGGTTCTAGCCATTCCCAGAGGCCACCTTTCCCAAGGGTGGCGCCCCTGTACGTGCCCCTTCTCTCCCTGGGAATACAGGGCAGCCTATCTGTGGGGTGGAGGACGCCCTGGCCCGGGTGGGCTGTGGGCCGTGCTAACTGTGGTTCTCTACACAGACGGCTTCTACCTGCCCGCCCCAGGGGCCCCGGGCACCCTGCACTCCCACGCGCCCTCCTCCAGGACCACCAGCGGCCACAACTCGGGCGCGACGGCCAAAGGCTCAGCATCATCGCGCGAGGGGACAACCAAGGAGCGTGCAGGCCGCGGGGGAGAGCCCCCGCTGTTCGGCAAGAAGGACCCCCGTGTGCGCGAGGAGGCCGCTGGGCGCGGCGTGGTGGACCTGACCCAGGAGGCGCGGACCGAGGGCCGCCCGGACCGAGCACCCGGGCGTCTGCCCGAACGCCTGTCGCCCTTTCTGGCTGAGACCAAGGGCAAGGGGGTGCTGCAGGCGTCCGCGCTGGGCATGTGCAACGGCGCGGCCGACGCAGGGCTGGGGCCCAAGGAGGCGACCCGGCAGGACGAGAGCGTGCGACTGCTGCGACGCGCGGAGGCCCTGCTGCCGGTGCCACGACCCTGTCCCTCGCCGCTGCCCCCGCCGCCCCCAAAGGGGCCCCCCGCTCCCCCCTCCTCGGCACCCGCTGGCGTCTACACCGTGTTCCGCGAGCCGGGACGCGAGCACCGCGTGGTGGCGCCCACCTTCGTGCCTTCTGTGGAGGCCTTCGACGAGCGTGCAGGTCCCATCCAGATCGCGTCGCAGGCGCGCGACACTCGGGCGCGCGAGCGCGAGGCGGGGCGGCCCGGGGTGCTGCAGGCGCCCCCAGGATCCCCGCGGCCCGAGCGCCCCGAGGTCCTGCGTGAGAAGAACTCGGTCATCCGCTCGCTCAAGCGCCCGCCCCCTGCTGATGCGGCCCCGGCCCGAGCCGCTCGCACCTCCCCCGATCCCCGAGTCTACCTGCCGCCCAAGGAGCTGCCCAAGCCGGAGGCCGAGCCGCGGGCGTGTGAGCGTACGCCCCGCGGGGCCCCGCAGTCTACCAAGCTCTTCAGCCTGGAGCCTACGCGTGTCCCCGCTCCCCCAGGCCCAGAGCACAAGTGGAAGCCCTTCGAGCTGGGCAACTTCGCCACGACGCAGATGGCCGTGCTTGCTGCGCAGCACCACCATGCCAGCCGCACCGCCGAAGAGGATGCCTCCAAGAAGGCATACCTGGACCCCGGGGGCGCACTGTCCCGCGCCCGGCCTGGCGCAGACCTGCACCCTGCGGCAGCAGGGGCTCACGGACCTGGGGAGGCCTCGGCCATGCAGAGTCTCATCAAGTACAGTGGCAGCTTTGCTCGAGAGGCGGTGGCCGTGCGTCCTGGCGGATGTGGCAAGAAGAGCCCCTTTGGGGGTCTGGGCACCATGAAACCAGAGCCCTCGCCCACCTCTGTGGGTACCCCGCGTGCCCAGGCCCGACTCCCACACCCGGGTGGCCCTGCATCGAGTGGGGGCCGGCAGCTGAAGCGGGACCCAGAGAGACCAGAGAGTGCCAAGACCTTTGTGCGCGAGGGCTCTGGTGCCCAAGGGGAGGCTGAGGTGCGGCACCCGCCTGTGGGCATTGCCGTGGCAGTGGCCAGGCAGAAGGACAGTGGTGGCAGTGGCCGGCTGGGGCCTGGGCTGGCAGACCAGGAGCGTTCCCTGTCCCTGAGCAATGTCAAAGGTAGGTCCTGGGCCCCAGTCCTGCACCTCTGGTTTCCCCTTCTGCTTACCTCCTGCATCTGCTTCTCTTGCACCCTTTCTTCCTGCCTGCCAGTCCCATGCACCCTTTGGATCACTTGTGCCTTGTGGCTGCTATTGAAAGTTTTATTGCATTTTCCATTATGTGCATAGAAAGGTTTGGAAAGTACGGAAAGGGAGCTCGAAGAAAAAGGGCCATTATGTTTTCCCAGCACCCTGAACGCTTTTATATCTCTCCCTGAATTCATTTTCCTGTGCAGTTTGCGTCTACCCGCTGAGCTCCTGGTGCACACACGATCTCAGGGTCTGTGTGTGGCTCCCATATTACAGTGTGGGCTCTTTTCCTGCTATCGAAAGCTCTTTATAAGTATCATTTTTTTATGGCCTTTAATATGCTGTGGAGAACACGCACCAGCAGGTACCGTGGTTCAGGTCGTCATTCCCTGGTGGGCATTTTAGTTTTTTGCTGCTCTGATGTTTTGTGTTGAGTTTGTTGCACGAAATATTTTTGTGCATTGTGCCTTCGTGATATTTTGAGTCATTTTTCTAAGAATAGAGGTTCCTAGGAATAGACTCATACTAAGCCTTAGATTCTAAGTCCAAGTAAAGTATAACCAGACTTATTTTATTTCAGGGTCTCTACCCAGCCAGCGTGAGGACTGGCACATAGTAGGTGCTTGATAAATGGGTAAATGAGCCAGTGTGTGTGAGGGGCAGAAACCAGGGTCCCCACATTCTTATGTGTTCTGACATTTAGTACTTAAGTTACTCTGGGTAGTTTTTTTTTGGGTACCTGGGATCGAGCTTAGGACTTTGTGCTTGCCAGGCAGGCATGGCGACATTGAGCTAAATCCCCAGCCCTCTGCTTTATTTTTATTTTTGGTGGTACTAGGAATAGTGTAGCTCTACCACTGAGCTACATCCCCAGGCCTCCTTTTTAAAATTTTGAGACAGTCTCACTAAGTTGTCTAGGTGGGACTTGAACTTGCAATCTCCTGCCTCAGCCTCCCATAGTGCTAGGATTATAGGCATGTGCCACCATGTCTGAGTTATTTTATTATTTTGGTGGTGCTGGGATCAAACTCGGAGCCCCTTGCATACTAAACAAGCGCTCTACCACTAAGCTACACCCCCAGCCCCATCTGTTTTGCTTTAGCTACTTCAGCATTGTGCTTTAACAAAAAACAACAAATAGTTGCTAATTTCAGTAGGGAAAATGGTGCATGTCACATAGTTTCTAGTGAGGTTGGATGTTTTCCAGAACGTGCTTAGTTGACTGGTTTTCCTTGCGCTCCCTCCGGGTGCTGAGACTCAGTGTTTGTGGTGTAGCTGTGGGAGTTGGTGCCCAGAACACAGCCCGCTGGTGAGCTGGGCACTCTGCCTGGGATTGGGGATCGAGGCTGGGTCTGTGTGCCTTGGTGAGGGTCACAGGCTGGAAAAGGGTGGGAAGGGGCATGTCAGCCTGTCCCCAGCTATCAGCCCCAGCCCAGCCCCATGCCGACTCTTGGTCCAGTTTGGACCCATCTGTGGTGTCCCCGAAAGCCCCAGACTTGACTCCTGCAGTTGTCCGGGCACCTTGTGTGCTCATCTCCTCGGTCCCTGCCCTCCTTGGCTGGGCCCAAGCTGACTCTGAGCAGCCTGGCTGCCCATCCCAGCTGCCTCTGAGACCCACTGTCTCAGCCTCATGTCCCTGCACCACAGTGGCTACCGGGATTGGTCTCAGTGTCCCTTCAGGTTGCCCTGCCCAGAATCACCGCCCCCGCCCTGGGATGGGGTTCGGGACTTTGCTCTCTCCAGCTGTATTGCTCATTAAGGTCATTTTTACACCAAGCTGATGGTCCTTGTGTGTCCTCGCATGTCTCTTGCCTTGCTGCCCCCTCACAGTGCCCTTCCCTCGCTCAGAGACCAGGCATCACCTCCCTGAGGGATTTTTGAGTTGGGAGCTTGGGTTCTGTCTTACTCTGCCTTAAAATTCTCCTCCAGTACAGAAGGCTAAATGATGCTTAGTGGATGTTTGCTGTCTGACGGAGCCCATTGCTCTAGGTGGAGGACCTCTGGAGCTGGGAAGCCCCACCCTCTGACCCTGGTGGGGTTTGCAGGAGCACCTGGTCATATTCTGGGATCCAAGTGGAGGGTGAGCAGTGGCTCACCCACTGCTCAGTGGCCACAGCGGAGGTGACCACTTGCTGGCAGACCCCCACCTCCCAAGTGGTTTGAGTCTGTGGCCCCTCGAGGCGAGATGTCTAGGGTCTTGTGATGCTGTTTGGCGGCTGTGGAGCCCAGGTTGCCACCTGTGCCTGAAGGACCTGTGCCCATAGGGTGGCAGGTGTGTGCATGTAGGAGAGGTGGGCACACACAAGTGCACGTGGTGGCTGGGGCTGGGGTCTGGGTGACCCTGGGATTTGGCAGATGCCGCCCGTCTCTCTTGCTGCTGATGGGTGATGGGCAGTGGCTGGAGTCTCCCTCGCCCTAAACCAAGTCCTGTATGAGGTGGGGGCTTAGCAACAGGCGGCCCAGCCTCTGTGCTGAGCGACCTTGAGGGAGGCTGGGGCCCTGGCGCATGTATACACAGCAGGGCTGTCACCAGTCAGTGGCCAGCCCCAGCCCCCTGGGTCTCGGGGTGGTCACACTGTCTTACTTTTTGCGGCGCTGGGGAGGGAGCCTAGGGGTTCTGCACTGAGCTCCATCCCATGCCATTTTTAATTTTACTTTGTATTTTGAGACATCCTTCCTAAGGTGCCCACGGTTGGGCTCAAACTTGCAATATTCCTGCCTCAGCATCCTAGAGTACTGGGATTATAGGCTTGTACCACCATGCCCAGCACACATTGTACTACGTTTTGGAAGGAGCTTTTTGTTTGCTATATCCTGGTATGGGTTCAGGTTCTAGCATGGTCCCTTGTAGCTGTGTGACCTTGAACAAGAGGCTGAGCCCCTTGGGCCCTGGGATCCTCAGATCATCTGCCTTCCGGAGAGCCCCAGGATGCACCTGCAGGACCGCAGCTGCCTCTAGGGGGTCTTGTACCCCATATAGCCACTGCCCCATGCTCAAGAGGCTCAGCGAATAAGAGCCATCACTGCCACCTAGGCTGCTCCTCTTGTGTGCCAGCAGCTCTGGAGGACTGTGCCACGTGGAGCTCCTTGGAGGAGGCACTGTTGCCCTCCACATTTGCAGATAGGGAGCCTGAGCCCAAGGCTTGTTTCTCTCACCCTCAGCCTGCCCATCCCCTGTGTCATATGGCACAGAGCGCGTGTTGCGCCAGTGTAAGGCAAGCTTGTGCTGATGAATTGGTCACCTGCCCAGATGGTGTCCAGGTAGGGGTTGCCATGGGAACTGAGTGGCAGCTGATGCTGGGATGCTTTCACTGGCCCCTGCATGGCCAGGGAGACCCACCTGGACCCCACCCTGGGCTCTGTGGCTGGATTGGTCATGGGACCCCAGCAGGTCTTGCTGTCTACCTGTGTCTCAGTGTCCTCCTCGGAAGATAAGGTGAACATGGGATTAGTCCTCAGGGTTGGCAGAGCTGGAAGGGCCCGTGGGGCACAGGCAGTGGCAAATGTTGGCTTTGTCTGGCTCAGCCTCAGGCACTGTGGCACTGTGGCGATGCTTGTGCCCCTGGGTGCTCAGCCTTGTCGGCCCTGTGCCCCGCACACCCACCTCCCCAGCAGCTGGGCCCCCGGCCAGCCAGGCAGCTCCCTGTGACAGGGCTGGGGGCATGCCTGGGCCTCACCCTCTGCTCAGCACAGAGTGACCATCTCATGTGTTGTCCAGGAGCCCAGGGGAGCTTCCAAAGCGTCAGAGCCTGTTATTCTTGTCACCCTGCTCAGACCTGCCTGAACTCCCCCCTTTCCTGAACAGCCAGCCCTGTTCCTGTTCATGGCTAGGACCCCTGCCTCAGGAGATATCTCCTGTGCCTTCTATTGCTCCCATGGCCCTGTGCTGTTCCTTGGCACATTCCAGCCTCAGGGCCTTTGCACTTGCTCTTCCCACTGCATAGCCCACTCTTCCTGGAGACCTCTGCATAACTCATCCCTCACCACTTGTGTATCATCTTCCCTACCTGGAACTGTGTAGGGAAGAGGTGGACAGCCAGGAGTAGCAGTTAGAACTCATAGCCCTGTGCAGTCTGGCAGAGGAGATAGTGAGCCAGCAAAAAGTAGAAGAGCTGCCAGGTGTGGTGGCGCACGCCTGTAATCCAGCACTAGGGAGGCTGAGGCAGGAGGATCACTGTGAATTTGAGGCCAGCCTGGGCTACTAGCAAGACCCTGTCTCAACAAAATAAGATAAAAAGACCGCACAAAAACCAAAACAAAGTAGAAGAGCTGTGGCAGTGACCAGTGCTGAGAGGGAGCTAACCAGTGAGCTGGTGGGAGGGAAATGGTCAGGGAGGGCCTCCGGGAGGAGGTGGCACTTGAAGCCAAGGTCTGGTTAGGGGGAGCAGTGTGTGTGTGGCCCTGAGGCTGAGACGCAGAGATTCGAGGGCTGGGCCTTGAGTCAGGCCAGGGTAGGGGCTTGGTTCTGGGGTATGACAGCGTGAGCCAGGCTCAGAGGCCCCAGGATGACGCAGGCTGAGCTGGAGCACTGCCGGGTGCAGGGGCTGTGTGCCCTTTGACATCCTGGGCTCAGCCCTGGGGACCTTGGGGATAGGATGCCCTAAGATGGGACAGGTCTGCCGATGGTTCCTGGTGGCAGGTGTTGCCCGGGATGGTGAGCCCCGAAATTGTGGGCCGTGCACCCCAGAGGCTGGCCCCTTCTGGGGCACCAGGAACAGGATACATAGCCTGTCTGAGGCCAGACTGGTGGGCAGGAGGGTGGCTGAATTCTTGGGGTCTGTCGGCTTGGGTGTCTACTGCCCCTGGAGAAGGGGACCTGAGACCTCACTCTTACTCTTCAGTGCAGCCGCAGCTTCTGGGTGGCCCTCTGGGCCTCAGCTTCCCTGTGGGGTCCACGGGTAGGCCCTGTCCTGTCTGTCCTCATCTGAGGGTGTGGGGGGAACCGGGCTGATGTGGAGGTGTGTGGTATGCAGTGAGGCCCAGCTCCTACCCGCAGGTGGGATCCCCCTGCTGCCAGCCCGTTCCCTCCCTTCTCTACCTCCTGCCTGGTCCTGTGACTTTGCACTGGCCCAGGGAAGCCTCTGCTCACCGTAACCTGTGTGGAAATGGTTTAGCAAGAAGACAGGGGTGCACCTTGCCATTGATAGGCCTCCTGGGGCCTCTGATGGGACACAGTAGCTCCTTCCCAGTCTCCCCAGATACTGGCTCACTGCTCAGATGCAAGTGGCAGAGCCAGGCACTGAGGGAGGCTGAGGGAGGAGGATCGCAAGTTTGAGCCCAGCCTGGGAAACTTAATGACTTAGCAAGACCCTGTCTCAAAGTAAAAAATAAAAAGGGCTGGGACATAGCGATCCTGGCTATCCTAGGTCCGCTGCCAGAGCTCTAGGTGGCCTCTGAGGCTCCTGTCAGGTGGTCCCACTGGCCATCTGTAGCCACCCCAGCGGTGGGCTACCCCTGTGGCCAGGCTGCTGGACCTCCTGCATGTTTGATCCTCAGCCTCTGGCTCCTCTGCTCTGCCCTGGGGCTGGTGGGTCTCTCCCTTCCTGGTGTCCAGCACCCTGAGGCTCTCCTAGGTTTGGCCCTTGAGAAGTTTTGGTTTTGGGAGTACAGAGAGATGAGGGGAGAATGCTTGCTGGCTGTGTCCTGGGGTGCCTGAGCACAGCTGCCATCTACCCCAGGGAGAGCGCCGGGGGCAAGATGTTGGTTCTAGCAGAACCCCAAGGCCTCTGGGCCGGGGTGCTGAGCCCCGAGATGGCTATAGACACGGTGGCAGTGGCCCTTGGCCGAGGCGGACTGACTGTGTCCTATTGTTACACAATGGGGTTCTGATGTTTTATCCCAGTGTCCTCAACTGGTAGTCTCATTCTGACCACAGTTGACCATGAGTGTGACTGGCACATTTTAGGGGTGCAGGAAGTTTCCGGGCACAGCAGACCCCTGAGCTGGGGTTGGGGGGATGGCACAGCATTGTGGGAACCAGGAGCTAAGTGGAAGGGCACAGACAGCCCTGGGACTGGGGCCCCCAAAGGGTGCAGGAAGAGGTGTGGGGAGGGGAAGGGGGCGAGCGTGAGGGCAGGGCCTAGGCATGGCTGGGGCCGCTGGGGGCTCACTCCACCTGGGCCCCCAGGGCACGGCCGGGCTGACGAGGACTGTGCAGAGGACCGGGCCAGGCACCGGGAGGAGCGGCTGCTCGGGGGACGGCTGGACCGGGACCAGGAGAAGCTGCTCCGGTGAGGGCTTGGTCTGGGATCCTGGGGGTAAGGGGTCCCCAGGTTGGCTCTGCCCCTGGACTGTGGATGCTGTGGCCCCATGCGTCCTCTATCCCTTCTGCCCCTGGTCCACCTGGGCTGTCCCTGAAGCCTCTGTTCTTTCCAGAGAAAGTAAGGAGCTGGCGGACCTGGCCCGCCTGCATCCCACCAGCTGTGCTCCTAATGGCCTGAACCCCAACCTCATGGTGACTGGGGGCCCGGCATTGCCGGGCTCAGGCCGCTGGTCTGCTGACCCTGCGGCACACCTGGCCACACACCCCTGGCTGCCCCGCTCTGGCAGCACATCCATGTGGCTCGCTGGCCACCCCTATGGTAAGCAGGGGTCAGGGTCCCCTCCCTGTTTGGGGGAATTGACAGGGACCTGGGTGCAGGGTGGGGGCCTCACTTGGCTCCTGCCCTTCCCTCTGCTGGGGCCTGGCTTCCTCTCTTGCCTCAGGATCTTCTTCCGCCCATCAGGGAAGTGCCCAGTGGGGGTGGCCCCGTGGGACTGTTTGCAGCTGGCTATTGCCCTGCGCCCTTGGCTCCTTATGGGAGGCCCAGGGACTGGGGAGCTGGCCAGGTAGGGGCTGTGCTGATCCTGGGCTTGGATGAGCTGGGGCTGCCCCTGGACAGATGGTCAGGGACCTCCTGGCACTGATGTGCACTTTGGTTCCTCTGCCTAGGTTTGGGCCCCCCCTCTCTGCACCAGGGCATGGCGCCTGCCTTCCCACCTGGCCTGGGGGCCTCCCTGCCATCGGCCTACCAGTTTGTCAGGGACCCTCAGTCAGGCCAGCTGGTAGTCATCCCCAGCGATCACCTGCCTCATTTTGGTAAGCGACACAGTGCTCGGCCCTGCAGAATTGGGTGGGCTCGGAGAAAACATCCCCACCTTGGTGGTGCCCACAGCACCAGGCTTTGGGGTCCTTGTTTCCAGGAACTTGCATGCGGAAACCCCATAAGCAGAGCCTGGTTGGGCAGCCCCAGGGGTTCAGGTGCCCCAGCTCTTGGGGGTCCTCATGTTGGTGGCCTTGGGAAGATCGGGGTGGGGGTCTGGGTAGACTTGGGCCAAGGGTGATGCCCCTGCTGTGTCCCTGCAGCTGAGCTGATGGAGCGGGCCGCCGTGCCACCCCTCTGGCCAGCACTGTACCCTCCGGGCCGCAGCCCCCTGCACCATGCACAGCATCTGCAGCTTTTCTCGCAGCAGCACTTCCTGCGGCAGCAGGAGCTCCTCTACCTACAGCAGCAGGCCGCCCAGGCCCTGGAGCTGCAGCGCAGTGCCCAGATAGTGGTGAGTCAGCCGAGCCTTCAGGGACGCACGCGCGAGCGACAGGGGTAGATGCAGGGCGGGGCGGGGCGGGGTGCAGAGTAGGGGGACCCAGAGGCAGGGGACCGTGAGAGCTTCCTGCAGGAGGTGGTGTCTGAGCCGAGGGAAGGAGTGGGTGGGAGGTCTGGGCTCCTCACCGGGTGGCTGCTGGGAACAGGCTCAAAAGGCCCAGCTGCTGGCTGCCGGTAGCCCTGAGCTCCCCTCTCAGTGAGAATGGAGCTGCTGATTCCGCGGGACGGCATGTGGAGTCCCCTGTGGGGTTGGGCTGCCTGGGATCCACAGTCCTCATGTCTCCCTGAGGCGCTCTTCGAAAGCTGTGCATGGCTTTGACTTGTCCCCTTTCCCCTGGGCTGCGACCCTGCTGGATAGAGAAGGCTCAACAGGCCCTGGGTGTGAACCTTGGCTCTGCCAGCCCTGCCTGTGGGTGCCCGGGGAAGTGACTTTTCATCTCTGGACTTCAAGAGAGAGAATGGAGATCTGGTTGCTGCCAGTCACAAAGTTGTTGATGGTGGCTTGGTGTTGGCGGAGCAGCTGGTCTTGGTTTATGTGTGCTAACTGTTGGCCCCAAAAGCTCTGGCCATTGTCCAGCCGCTCCCTCCTTCCCACCCATTTGTCATCAGCCCCAAGCACGGGCTCCTCCATCCTAGGAGGTGCTTGAGCACCCAAAGGTGACAGTGCAGTAAGTTCCTCATGAGTGCAGTTGTTCTAATGCCATATAGGTGCCAGGTGTCTTCAGGAGCTCCATGCCCACCTTGAGGGTCCCAGAGGGGTCCAATTGGAGGGCCCCACCTTCCCTGGGGAAGGGGCTGGGCGCCCACTGGGATTCCATGGAATCCTATACTTATTATATGTGCACCATGATGGAATGTCTGTCTCAGGCCAGGGTGGGTGGGTGGGTGGTGGCCTGGACCTCGGGCCTGACCTGAGGCTCCCCGGGGCTGGCCTCGCTGATCCTGTGTACCCCCGGCCCCCAGCAGGAGCGGCTGAAGGCCCAAGAGCAGCGGGTCGAGATGGAGGAGAAAGTAAGCAAGCGGAGCCTGGATGCTGCGGGCAAGGCTGGCCTGGCTGCTGCAGGCCCAGGGCTGCTGCCTCGCAAGCCCCCCGGCCTGACCACCGGCCCTGCGGGTGCCTATGGCAAGGCCGTGAGCCCACCGCTGTCACCCCGTGCCTCCCCCGTGGCTGCCCTGAAGGCCAAGGTCATCCAGAAGCTGGAGGATGTGGCCAAGCCGCCCGCCTACACCTACCCCGCCACGCCCAGCTCCCTCCCCAGCAGCCCACCACCCGCCTCCCCACCTCCCACCCCCGGCCTCACCCGCAAGGAGGAAGCCCCCGAGAATGTGGTGGAGAAGAAGGACTTAGAACTGGAGAAGGAGGCCCCCAGCCCCTTCCAGGCCCTGTTCTCAGGTAGGACTGAGGGCTGCCTGCGCTGGCTCTGGGGACACCCATCCCATCTGTTTGATGTTTTTTGGCGGTACTGGGGCCAGGGCCTTGGCACTGAGCTACATTCCTGGCCCATTTTATTTTTTATTTTGAGACTGGGTCTCACTAAATCACTTAAGTTGCCCAGGTTCAGCTCAAACTCATCATCTTCCTGCCTCCGCCTCCCAGACTGCTGAGCTTCTAGGCGTGTGCCACCCAACCAGGCTTCGTTCATTTTGAGTCTGTTGAGCACCTACTGTGTGCCAAGCCTCCTGCCAGACTCCAGAATGCATTCACGTGCACACAGTCGTCAGTTGTGCCTGGACAGGGTTGGAATATTAGATCTTCCTCCAGGAACAGGGGTCCTGGGTTTTAGGCCAAACAAGACCTGTAGAACTCTTCGAGCTGAGTAGTAGCAGTGCGGAGGTACCTGTTCTGGGCGTCAGCCCTGCCGGCCCCATGTACCTGCTGGGACCTGTGGCAGGTGGTTTGGGGGCTGTTAAAAGCATGTGAGCTTGCACTTGGGAGGACTTGGGTTCTAATTCAGGTTTTGGCCCTGGTGCTATGTGAGCTCGGGCAGGTGGCTGCCCGTCTCTGGGGCGATTGAGTGTGATTCCTGGGTTGCTCTGATTTCTCTTCCCCTGCATTGGGTTCCTGCTGAGCACCCGTAACCTGCCTGCTCTGGGCTGGGCCTGGGACTGCACCAGAGTCACCACACGTCCCAATCTCGGGCTGGGTACAGGGGGTGGACAGAACTGTGTTACTTTGACATTTGGAGCACCTGTGTCATTGGGGTTGGGGTGGCAGGTTCTCCTGGACCAGGAGCCCAAGACACCCTGGCTGGTTGAGGAGGTGCCGGTCTTTGTGGAGCTCATGAAGCATTTGCTTCTGGCCCAGCCTTGTGCTGAATGCCAGGGGTAAGGGTGGAGAGCCCACCATGGGGGACCCTGACTCAAAACCCTTAGGGACCAGGTGGTGGCCCATGGGTACCACCGTGGCCCAGATGTGTACCTGGGCCCTGGCATTTCCCAGACCACCTGGAAATGCTCCCAGCCCTGCAGCCCGTCAGGCAGGACCTGGCTGTGGCCTGGCGCTCTGTCCAGGTGGTGGACAGGTGGGGACAAGGGGCTGTTGGGCTGACCCCTGGTGTTCTTGGCAGACATCCCCCCGAGGTACCCGTTCCAAGCCCTGCCGCCGCACTACGGAAGGCCCTATCCATTCCTGCTGCAGCCCACAGCGGCCGCCGATGCCGATGGCCTGGCCCCCGACGTGCCGCTCCCGGCCAACGGTCCTGAGCGCCTAGAGCTCTCGCCCGAAAACAAACCCATCTGCCTGTCGCCCTCTAAGATCCCTGAGCCGCTGCAGGAGGGCCCGGAAGAAGAGCCGCTGGCCAACCGTGAGGTGAAGGCTGAGGTGGAGGATGTGGACGAGGGCCCTGCGGAGTTGCCACCGCTGGAGTCACCGCTGGCCCTGCCTGTGTCCGAAACCATGGTGGCAGCGAGCCCTGCGGGCAGCTGTGGAGGTGGCCTGCGGGAGGCTCAGGTGCTGGGCACCGCTGGGCAGGGCTGCCCAGAGCCCTCTGAAGACCCGGGTTTTGCAGAGAGGGCCGAGGCACAGGCGGAGTTGCTGGGCCGGACAGAGTCTCATGTGGCCGTCCTGGAACTGGGAGGGCGGCTGTCGCCTGCGCCACTGGTGGAGACTAAGGAGGAACCAGTGGAGGTGCCCCTTGATGTACCTGTGGAGACCCCTGTGCCTGAGGCAGGGCCCGAGGAGGGACTGGTACAGCCGGCCCTGAGTGAGCCCCAGCCCAGCCTCAAACTGCCAGACTGTGACCTGCCTGCCAAGGAGGGACAGTGCCCCGACCTAGAGGTCCAGGAGGCTGCACCTGCGTCTGCCAGCGCCAGCTACCTGGAAGAGGCGACCTCAGACCAGCTCCTGCCTGGCCTGGAGGACCCGCTGGCTGGTATGAATGTCCTGGTGGCTGCGGCGGAGATGCCTCAGGCCAGGCCACTGCCCTCCCCAGACACCGGAGGCCAGGCCTTGGAGAGGCTGGACCCGGTCCCGAGCCTGGTCCTAGAGCAGGGATTTCTGCAGGGCATCACACTGCTGAGCGAGATCGCAGAGCTGGAGCTCGAGAGGAGGACCCAGGAGGCAGGAGGTGAGTATTGCACTTAGCGGTTGGTTCTGTGATTCTTTTTTAAGAAACTTTTTAAGCTGGGCATGGTGGTGCATGTCTGTAATCCTAGCACTTGGGAGGCTGAGGCAGGAGGATTGCCACAAGTTTGAGGCCAGCCTGGGCTACACAGCAAGACCCTGTTTCAAAAAACCAAAAAAAAATTTTCAGTAAGCTTTTCTAACTTTGAAGAGGCCCAGAATAGGGGTTGTTCATATTTAAAAAATGGTGGGCCGGGGATTTAGCTCAGTGGTTTTGCCACCTGCTGCGCAAGCTCAAGGACCCGAGTTCGATCCCTGGTACCAAAAAAAAGGTGATAAAATGCAGCAAAATGTACTACCTTGGCCCTTTCAAAGTATTCAGTTTTGCGTTAAGGACATTCACATTGTTGTGCAGCCAATCTTTGGGTTTTCTGGTGGTAAAATTTCTCCTTCCATCAAAGGTATGTTTGTAATAGCATGATTCTTTGGGTTGTAAGGGACAGAAATTCTCATTTAAACTGGCTTTTCAAAAGGTAGGAGAGACTTTATTGGCTTAGGGAACCAATGTTGAACAGTCGTGGGGCTGTTTCAGATATTGCTAGATCCAGGTGCTCAAAAATCATGAGAAGTTTTTCTTTGCCAGAGTACCCCTTTCCTGCAGTCTGTCCTTTTCCCTCTCTCCCTGGTCCACTTTCTTCTCTGTTGGCCTGGTTTGAGGCAGGCTCATTGTCCTCATGGGGGGCTTCACCAATTCCTCCCGGGGCTGCTCAGCTCTGCTCAGCAGCCTTTTGAAGGAGGCCACCTCTTTCTTGGGGCTCTGGCAAAAACTCAGACTCACTCTCGTGGGCTGACCTGGGGTCATGCTGTTTTTTTGGCGTGGGGTGGTAGTGGTGGTGGGAATCAAACCCAGGGTCCCGTACATTCTAGGCAATCACCCTGCCACTGAGTTATTGGCCCCACAAAGGGCTTGTTTTAGAGCCAGGACTTGCTGTGTACGCAGACAGGTCTTGAACTCCTGGGCTCAAGGGATCCTCCTACTTTAGCCTCCCAATAGCTGGGACTACATGCTTCCTTTTTTTTTTCCCCCCCCCTGCTAGTACTGGGGCTTGAACCCAGGGCCTTCCCACTGAGCTACATCCACAGTCCTTTTCTTTTTTTTGAGACAGAATCACTAAGTTGCCCAGGCTGGGCTTGAACTTGCAGTCCTCCTGCCTCAGCATCCCAGAGTGCTAGGTTTCTAGGTGTGCACCACCATGCCTGGCTGGTTTATGCTTTTTACAGCAGCAAATCCTGAGGCTGGAGAGGTGGGCCAGGCTGGTCCCATCCACTGGCCACTTCCGGGGTGTGGGTGGTGCTGGCTTTGGGGAGAAGCTGATGTCCTTGCCGTGTTCTGTGTTTCCCTCAGCGAGTCTCCCGTATCAGGCTCACGTACATTTACTCCCAAATGAGGATCATCATGTGAACAGGGCTCTGCACACTTGCCTCGTTCACTTAATAGATTCCTGATGAAACATTTTTCAAAGCTGTGGTTTTTAGAATACTTTTTTTTCTTGTACTGGAGATTGAACCCAGGGCCTTTGCACTGAGCTATATCCCAGCCCTTTTAAAATTTTTTTATTTTGAGACGGGATCTTGCTGTGTCACTAGATTGCCTGGGCTGTGTGGTTGTGATCCTCCTGCCTCAGCCTCCTAGAGTGCTGGGATTACAGGTGCACACCACTGCACCTGGCTTAAGAAACCCTGTTTTTAGGGACTGCTTGGTTGTCTGTCCAGCCGTGGCCTGGGCCTTTGATGGCCGAATCCTAGGTTGTCAGGCATCCTTGTTTGCCTTACTATTCTTTGCTGTTGCAGATAGCATGATGGTTATCCTTGTGGAAAAATGTTCCGCTGCTCTGCTTCTCTTTGGCTTGTGTTCCTAGCAGTGGTACTGTCCAGTCACAAGGCTGCCTTTTCAAGGCTTTTGGTCCCCGTGGTCAGATGGCCTCCAGGAAGCTGGGCAGGTGTCCCACTGGCCATGTGACAGAGTCCCCCCGCCTCACCCCACAGGCACCTGGTGCGTGTGGTTGTTCTAAAGTCCATTGTGGTTTCTCTGTCATTAAAATAGTCACTGAAGCTGGGCATGGTGATGGTGGCACGCAGACTGTAATCTCTGTGCTTTGAGAGGCTGAGCAGGAGGATCTCAAGTTCGAGTCCAACTTGGGCGACATAGTGACTTAGCAAGACCAAGTCTCAAAGTAAAAATCTCAGCAAGGGCTGGGGATGTAGCTCAGTGGGAAGGCCCTGGGTTCAATCCCCAGTGTTGCTCAAAACAAAAACAAAAAAAAGGGCTGGGGATTTAGCTCAGTGGTTCCGGCACCTGCCTCACAAGCACAAGGTCCTGGTACCAAAAAAAACAAAAAAAAAAGATTCCAAAAACAAAAATGGTTTTTTAACAGAGGAAACTGGAAATCTCGCGGATTCATCTAACCGGTGGTAGCTTTTCTTTCAGTGAGGCCAAAGGCTACTGAGAAGGTAGGGCCTTGTTAAGGGTGTGGTTTGTGGCTGCCACCCACCTCTGCCCTCAGCCCTGTGTTCAGAGGCCTGGTTTGGCTGGCTCCATGCTGGTCCTCCCTGGCCTCCCAGAATGCTGGGGCCACCGGACAACTCACTGGAGACTCGGCGGCTTCAACAAGAGAAATTCTGTGTCTCACAGTTCTGGAGGCTGCAAGTGTTTGAGCCCAGGGCCTTTGCACTGAGTTACATATGTGGCTTTTAAAAAATTTGACTCACTAAAGTTGCTCAGGCTGGCTTTGAACTTTTGATCCTCCTGCCTCAGCCTCCCAGGTAGCTGGGATGTCTGAGATCAGATGTTGGCAGGACTGGCTCCTACTGAAGGCCACAAGGACCAGTCTCCTGGACTTGTGGATGGCCATCCTTGCCCTGTATCTTTCTGTGTGCTTGTCTTTGTCTTCAGATTTCCCTCCAGCCATGTTGGATTCAGACAGCCCCAATGGCTGCCTTTAGCTTGGTCACCGAGTCTGCTCCCATTGTGACGTACCAGGGGTCAGTCTGACAGCGACCTACAGGAGTGGGTGGGGTCTGCTTCCCTGTGGCCTGTTTTAATAAGTATATATGAGGTGTGAACACAGCAAAAGACACATTGCCATGAATCCCCTCAGAAGCCCCCGCCAGCTTTGAATACACTTACCCACTTTGTCCTTGCCACTTTCAGAAGCGGTTCTGGAACTCATCTTTCTTGAGTGTCTTTACTTGCGCCCTTGTGGGTGCCTCAATATCCTGGTTTGATTGAAAACATTTCCCTTTCATGGTCATTTTGACTTTGGGGAGGAGCTAGAAGTTGGACGGTGCCAGATCCGGTGAATAAGGTGGATGAGGACACAGCGTCATGTTTTTACGAGGCTGCCTTTCCCTCCTTGGACAGCACTCGGCAGGACTATTCACTGTATCCTTTTTTGTTTTGGTACCGGGGATCGAACTCGGGACATTGTGCTTGCGAGGCAGGCGGCAGAACCACTGAGCTAAGTCCCCGGCCCTATTCACTGTATTCTTAATCACACCTCGTAAGGACATGAGACGACTTCCTGAATTCCAGATAGTGGCAAGAACAATGGGATGAGTATGTTGGAAGCAAAGGAAGTATTTTAAGGGGTCATAATGCCCCTATCTATATGTCTTGCTGTAATACATTTTTAAATTGTAAGCATTCACTATATATTTTGATCATCTCGTATATGAGCAAAACCAGTGATTGTCAACTAGGGCGCTTCTGCCCCCCAGGGGACAGTGGCGGTACATTTCGTCTGTCACAGCTTCAGGGGTGCACTGCTGACATCTAGTGGGAGAGGCTGGGGGACTGCTCAGGTCCCACAATGACAGCCCTGCAGACCACCGCCCGGCCCCAGAGCAGCAGCGTGGGGCTCATGGTCCCATTGTAAATGTCCACCTTCCAGAATGGGGATCAGTGACAGAGAAGAGAATTTTCCCTTCAAACACAGGCATAACAGGCGCAACAATGGATCATATTTTGGGTCAGAGGAAAGTGTCAGTTTAATTTGGTGGAGGTGGAACCTTGCTCCCTTCTGCTGCTGGCTCTGGTTGGAGCGACCGTTCTGGACGGTGGGGAATGGTTCTCAGCAGAAACCACATCTTGCCCGGGAATCACCTCAGTTGGGGGTTTCCTATCACTGGCTGTGTCTCTCCTTGCACTGGGGGAGAAAATCAAAAGCCTGGTGTGGGGGCGCACACCTGTAATCCAGCGTTCTGGAAGGCTGAGTCAGGAGGACCTCAAGTTGGAGCCCTGCCTGGGCGACTTAGTGAGACCCTGTCTCAAAAAATAAAAGGGATTAGGGATGTAGCTCAGTGAGAATGCCCTGGGTTCCATCTTCAGTATTGGGGAAAAAAAAAAAATCAGGGCCAGGGATTTAGCTCAGTGGTCCCACTGCCTTCCTCACAAGCGCCAGGTCCCGAGTTCAATCCCTGGTACCAAAAAAAGCCAAAAACAAAACAATCTGAACGACAGGAGTGGTGATTTTTACACTAATTAAAACTCATTAGCACAAGAAAATTCTACTCTGCTGTTAAGTTTTTCTAAATAAAACACTAGTGTTTTATTTTGTTTGAGACAGGGTCTTGCTGTGCAATTCAGGCTGGCCTTGAACTCAGTATGTAGCCCGGGTTGGCCTAGAACTCCTGGCAATCCTCCTGCCTCAGCCTCCTGAGTGCTAGGATTACAGGTGTGCGTCGCTAAGCCTGGCTGGAGTTTTTGACCTTCAGAAATGGTGATTTTTCACAGGGGATGTTGAGGCAGGAGGATCTTTGGGAGTTCGAGGCCAGCCTTGGCTACATACTGAGTTCAAGTCCAGCCTGAATGAGAATGAGGCAGACCTGTTTGTTGTGGGATGGCAGAGACAGGAAGCGGAGAAAGTGAAGTGTGATGTGCGATAATGTATTGGTGACTGTTTTACGTTTCCCAGGGTGCCTGTGTGTGTTGGGGTATCATTACCCACATGTAAGCGTTTCTGGAACCACTGGACAGTGACTGTACAGTCAGCAGCCTCCCCAGGGAGGGCCTGCCTGGTGGGCGGAAGAGGGCTTTCCTTCCTCCACATCTTTGTGCTTGCTTGTGTTGTGTTGTGTTCTTTTTTTTGCTACTGGGGGTTGAACTTGGGTCCTTGCTAGCTTCTTTTTTCTGATGATGGGAGCTATGTGTAGTCACTGTGGAAAAGTGAGGAGTGCTCCGCGCCTAGAAAGGACCTTTTGGCCTGTGGTGACTCTGCTGTGTGCTCCATGCTCCTACATACGGTATGGGCTGGCACCAGGCTGCACGGTGCGTCTCACCTCTCTGATCCTCTTAGTGCTGTGTTCTGCATCTCTGGAAGGCCTCAGTCCAGGTGGTCCAGGATGCTGTGAAGCCTGGAGCCCCTCCCCGTGCGGCTCACCCTCTTCCCACCTGGCCACAGGTGCAGAGCCCGGCCTGGCCACGCGGCCCTCGCTGGAGAGCCTGCTGGCAGCCAGCAGCCACATGCTGAAGGAGGTGCTGGACAGTCCCTTCTCAGACCCACTCAAGAACCTGCAGCTGCCGCGGGAGCTGAACCCCAACAAGAAGTACAGCTGGATGCAGAAGAAAGAGGAGCGAGTGAGTGGCACTGGCCTTTCTCCTGCCTGTGGCCCAGGGGTAGGGGCAGGACAGGTGTCACACAGAGGTGCCCTCTTCCTGGGGTGTAGCTGGCTTTGGAGCCAGAGGAGGTTCCTCACTTGCACCTGGTTTCCTCTACCAGTTGGTATGGGGCCCTGGATAGGTCGTTTCCCCTCTGAGTTTGTTTGTTTGTTTATTTATTTATTTTTTATTTATTTTCGCAGTACTGGGGATTGAACCCAGGGTCTTTGCACTGAGTTACATTCCCCAACCTTTTTTATTTTGAGACAGGGTCTCTCTAAATTGCCCAGGCTGGGCTCAAACTTTTGATCCTCCTGCCTCAGCCTCCCAGAGTGCTGGGATGACAGCTGTGTACCACTACACCCAGTTCTGTCTGGCTTTAGTTCTCCATTTGATACCTCGTTGGGCACATCACCCAGGCAGTGGCTTGGGAGACTGGGAAGAAAGCAGCCTGGGTATCAGGCCTGGCTCTGCCCTTTGCTTCCTGTGGGTCCTTGGGCACATGCTGCCCGCTCTCTGAGCCCTAGCACATGTACGATACCAGGCTCTCCCCTCCTCTCTGAGCCTTTGTGACGGGCAAGGCACTGTGCTTTACCCCCAGCACCTTAACTGTGTGCTGACACTCTCCTGCGGTGGTCTCTAGCACAAAGATGGAGCCCGGGCCACAGGTAGTAAGTGGTAGCAATAGGATTTGAGCTGGGGCCTCTGTGGGCCCAAAGGCCTGGCTCTTGCTGTCCCCACTTGTGAGTAGCCACCTGACAAGGAGCTGGTTAGTCGCTGGCCTTGCCGTCCTCACCACTGTCCTCGTTCTCCACTCTGCCCTGTCCAGATGTTTGCTATGAAGTCTTCCCTGGAAGACATGGACGCCCTGGAGCTGGACTTCCGGATGCGGCTGGCAGAGGTGCAGCGCCAGTACAAGGAGAAACAGCGTGAGCTCGTGAAGCTGCAGCGCCGCCGGGAGTCTGGGTGAGTGCCTGGCCCGCACCCTGTGGGCTGGCCTGCCGGCCAGGTGTTCGGGCAGTGGCAGGCAGGCGGGCACCCAGGCAGTGTTGTGCCGGTGCCGGGCTCAGTAGGTAGGCTGTGGCGGCTGCCAAGCGTGCGTGGACCTGAGTGACGTGTGCGCAGCATGTGCCCCTCTCTGCGCCTGGCCCAGCCCCACGTTCACAGCCAAGCCTGTGGTTCTCTTTAAGGGACAGGCACGAGGATCCCCATAGAAGCTTGGCACGCAGAGGCCCTGGCAGGCCGAGGAAACGGACCCACGGCCCGAGCACCCTGTCGCCCCCCTGCAAGAGAGGGAAGAGCCACAGCAGTAGCGGAAAGTAAGGCTGGCCCCTCGGTGGGTCGGGGACTGGCACCGAGCTCGGAGGGGTGGTGCAGGGCCCGGTGTGGTGCCTGCGGCCAGGGACCTTGAGTCCCCCGGGCCCTTAACCCCCTGGAACAGCAGCTCCTAGGGAGCTCAGCGCTGTCTGGGCACACAGGGCAAGCGAGGCTGGGAGGACTGACCCGGCGAGAGGTCGCCCTCTGGCCTAACTGGAGCGCTTGGCCTGCCTTCCTGCCAGTCTGCTGCTTCCACAGCCAGGGCCTAACTCCCGCCCTCTGCACGCACCTCCTCGCTGCCGGGCCATCAGCCCTGCCATGACTACCTCTGATGCGTGCTGTCGCTTGGTTCCTTCCGTGCTGGACATTTCCCCGTCCTCCTGGCCTGATCTGCTGGCTCTTCCTGCCTGAGACCACGGCCACTTCCTCTTTGTGCTCGGGGGATGAGGTCCTCAATGATGGTGGCAGCAGATTCCTGTGGCATGTGGCGCCACTGGAGGTGGCCTTGTGTGCTGGCTGGAAAGAGCACCACCCTCTAGAGCTGGGCTTCGTCTTCCCTGGGCATCACTGGACGTCCAGCAACAAGAAGGGGGCTGCAGTGTGCTGACCGTGCAGCCGGGGCCATGGCAGCCGAGGACATGCAAGCAGAAGGAAACGGCCTCTGGGGCACCTGAGAGGCAGTGGGACAGCTGTGGGTCATCTCAGGAGAAAGCTGCACACAGCCCCAGAATCTCACTGCACCTCCCTGGATGTCCCTGACAGAAGAGAGGATGGAGAGAGGAAGAGATGCGGAGCTGCCAGCCACAGCAGGGGAGGGCAGAGGCCCTGGAGAAGACAGCATGCAGCTGGGGCCCGGCAGTGCAGGCCGAGTGCCCAGGGGTGTGGGCCCTGGGGGGTTGAACTTCCTGCCGAGTTCCAGGTCCACCCCTCCTGCAACCACAGGCAGGTGTTAGCTTTTCCAAGCCTCAGTTTTCTCATCTGTAAAAAAGCTGCAGAACAATGTGGTGTTCTGTAGCTAAAATAGAAGGCACTAACACAGTGCAAGACAGTGTAAGCACCAAGCCAAGATGAGCTGCTTTTATTACCTGTGAAGCTTCAGCCTAAAGCAGGGAAGAACAGCCTTTGTCCATGTCTGAGCTGCCTGGACTCACAAGGAAATGGGAGGCGAGCTAATGGCTCCTTCGTATAAGTTCCTGATCTTAATTCCCCCTCTCATCCTGGTGGATTTCCTTGGTGTATCTGATCCTTGTTCTTGGCATGTTTGGTAAAAAAGTAGCTCACTGTTTAAAGATGAGTGTGTGTGAGTGTGTGTGTGTGTGTGTGTAAAGAGACAAGAGGCCGGCAGAGGATGCCACCTTGAAGTTTTGTTTCTTTCACATTATACTCTCATTCTGCCTCATTCACAAATATCCCAGCATTCCAGCACTGTAGTTTTACAAGCTGTCTCCCCAGATTGGTGCTATGGCATCCAAAACTGTGCTTCAGCCTCCAGAGCCCAGCCTTCAGGCCCACGAGGGTGGACCCCAGCCCTGGAGGGGCCCCTGGTCAGCTGCTGACCAGTGTGTGTTTGGGTTTCAGGCTGAGCAGCAAGTCCCTGCTGACATCGGACGACTATGAGCTGGGAGCTGGGATAAGGAAGAGACACAAAGGGCCTGAGGAGGAACACGACGCTCTCATTGGAATAGGGAAGGCCAGGGGCAGGAACCAGAACTGGGATGAACACGAGGCCTCATCTGACTTCATGAGTCAGGTTAGTAGCCCAGTCTTCCAGCCATGCTGCGATCCTGGGGTAAGGGTCTAGAGGTCGTGCTTGAGAGTGTGCACTTTTCCTGTGCAGGTCTGCTGGCCCCAGTTGCTGTGAGGAATGGTTCATTTTCCCCAAGGGCCAGTGGAGATCAGGGACTTGTTAACAGCCTCAGAGGTAGAACCAGAACTAACTCCATTTGTGTGCTCCTTGACCCTTTGCTGAAACCGAGCAGGGAGACTGCAAATTCTTAACCAAATAATGCAATTACTCTGTTGTTTTAACAGTATAATTGTTTAACGAGCAGCTTCATCGGTCTGTAGTTCTAAAAAAATAAGAGCCTGATGCCATTGTAATTTCCTCTGTGAATTTTCCAGGGGTAATGGGGTGAGAGCCAACTCTTTAATTTTTCTTATTTCTGTGGAGCATTGAAATTGTTCACTTAAGGGGCCTCATCTCTAAATCCTAATGTCCCTTGTCATCCCACCCCATGAGGCCCTGTGATAAAGGAATGTTTTGGTTGATTTAGCCATCAGAGGGGAGTACAGAGGGAGATGGGTCCAGAACTAGAAAGACTGCCAGTTTGTACATCAGGATCCTTTTTAATCTCAAATTGTGGTCAGGGATGCTTTTGTTGTTGTTTACATGACAGTGTCCCAACTTCTTTCCTCTTTATGAAATGCTACCTGATCAAAGAAAAACAGATAACATGTTGAAATGCAGGGTATTAATGGTTTTGAAATTGTGTATTTCACTTTGACAAATGAATACAGTTGACGATAGGCCTGCAACCAGGAATTTAATCTGTGAAATCTCTAATTATTCTTTCTGCTTCAGGCGTCCAAGACACACTTCAGCCATTTTCTTGGCAGCTTTGCCCCGTTTAGTTAGACAGGCTGGCTTAGACTGTGCAGCAGTCTCCGTCAACTTCTGTAGGTGGTCGAGATAAGCAGATGAGCCATACTCTGGTTTAGATATTTTATTTATGTAATTTATTTTACAGTACTGGGGATTGAAACTGAGCTACATTTCCAGACCTTTTTATTTTTTCTTTTCTTTTCTTTTTTTGTTTTTTTTTTTGGTACCGGGGATCGAACTTGGGTCCTTGTGCTTACGCTCCCCGGCCCCTGACCTTTTTATTTTTTGAGACAGGGTCTCACTAAATTGACCAGGCTGACCTCAACTTGCAATCCTTCTACCTCAGCTTCCTAAGACACTGAGATTATAGGCCTGTGCCACTGTGCCTGGCCAGGTTTTCAATCTTCTTACCTTTTTCCTCTCTCAACTCAGCTACATTCTCTGAGCCATCAGTGGTTCTGGTTGCTTAAAGTGCTTCTGAGGAGGTACAAGATAAGTGCCATGGAAAGCCAGAGTGGAAATACCAGGGCCAGTGATAATTGTAACCATAGTAACACCTATTTAATAAGTGGTTACTTTGGGTCAGGCATTTTGATAAATGCTTTCTGGTTTTTTTGTTTTGTTTTGTTTTTTGAGACACTGTCTTGCTGTATAGTCCCGGCTAGCCTTGAACTCTTGGTAGTACTCCTGCCTCAGCCTCCCCAGTGCTGGAATTGCAAGCTGATAAATGCTTTCTGTGCCTTATCTCAGTTCATCTTCAGAACAGCCAGGTAATGTCCAGACACAAATATCCTCGTTCTACAAAGTGTAAGGACTGAGGTATGAGGAAGGATTAGAGCCCAGGGTTGTCAGAGGTGTGCACTGAAACCCACTATCCTGTTTTGCCGAATGTCCTAATGTATGACCCAACTTCCCTCCCCAGCTAAAGATTAAGAAGAAGAAGATGGCCAGTGACCAGGAGCAGTTGGCAAGCAAGCTAGACAAGGCCCTCTCCCTCACAAAGCAGGACAAGTTGAAGTCACCCTTCAAGTTTTCGGACAGTTCTGGGGGGAAATCGAAAACTAGTGGGAGTTGCGGCAGGTTCTTGAGTCCTTATGACAGCCTGCTGGGCAAGAACACGAAGACACTGGCCAAAGGCCTGGGCTTGTCTCTGAAATCCTCTAGAGAAGGTAAACACAAAAGGGCCACCAAAGCCAGGAAGATGGAGGTGGGGTTCAAGGCCAGAGGCCAGTCCAAGTCGGCCCATTCCCCGTTCGCCTCGGAAGTGAGCAGCTATTCCTACAGTAAGTAGCCGACGCCGCGCTACCTCCCGGCCGTGCCTCTCTCTCTTTCTGTTCTTCGTTTTCCTCCTCTTCCTCTCCGGGGACACTCTTCAAGCTCTCTTTTGGCTTTCTGCTGTCTCTAAGCCGGAAGTAGGGATCGCCTGAAGTGGAAATGCCTGTAATTGGCAGATACAGTGTCGGCAGGTGCCTGTGATTGGTGGGTGTCTGACTGGGGGTGGGGGCTGAAGTTGGCCCGCCCTCTGGTACCTGCTCTGGCTATTTCACCGGAAGCTCTTCACATGGAGGTGTAATGTACAGTGGAGTCTGCGGCTGCTCAGCCTAGAGAGGCCTGGAATGACCCTGCTTTTGAGCGTGCTAGAGGTGACGAAACTCTCTTGCTCGCAGGAAGCTCCCAGTTACGGAGCAAGTTTCAGGCTGGACTCTGAAATGAGGGCTTTGTGGGAGTGTTTTCGTTGTACCTGTGACAGCTCCACAAATGGGTACCCCCATTTTGTGGTTGAGTCTGCGGAGCCTGAAGGGGTGGAGGAAGGGTGCGCGTGGGTCAAACCTGCTTTGGCCAGAGCCCTGGCACGGTGGTCGTAGACTTATGTGACTGTTGAGCCCTTGAAGTGGAGCAGAGGCCGCGGTTGTGGAGTTACTGTGGTTTACCTGAGCGTGGTGTCTTCCTGGGGTCTGTGGGCTGCTGCTGCCTGGCGGGTACAAGGTACTCACTTGGTGTTAGTGGACCGAGCACCGCTCATGTCTGCAGTGGACAGGTACTGAGCATGTAGTAGTTGCAGGAAGGGCTTCTTGGATCCAGGGCCGCCTCAGTGTGTTTACTCTGGCCGTCCCCAGCCCCTGCACTCGTGGGCAGGACGTTGGTTGGGGGATTCTGGGTTCTGTGTCCTGGCCTTTTGATGGGCTGTGGCTGGATCCCTGCGAATGTATTTGGAGGGGAGAGGATGTTAGACTGTCAGGTGCAAAAAACGGACAAGTTTAATGTCATAATAAAGTGTGTGTTTTTTCTTCCTTTCTCCTGTCCTTTTTGTTTTCCTCCCTCCCTCTTTCCCACCCTCTTCCCTCTTCCTCCTTTTCTCTTTCCTTCTTTCCATCTATCCTTGATTAAACCCCAGGACCTTTGCACTGAGCTACATTCCCATCCACTTTTCAAATTTTGAGACAGGGAGTGGCCGGGGATGTTGCAGTGGCAACAGTGCCCACCTGGCATGCATGAGGCCCTGAGTTCGATTCCCAGTACCAAAAAAAAATTTTTGTTGTTCAATTGCCCAGGCTGGGCTTAAACTTGGCAGTCCTCCCTGCCTCAGCCTTTCAGGGTGCTGGGATTACAGATGTGCACTACTGTGTTTTCTTAAGGAAAGAAAATAAAAGTAGTTATGGACTTGGAGGTGAAACTTCATCACCTGCCCTCCAGAGTTCTTGGGAGCCTTAAGTGAGCTTAAGTGGGCAGAGCTGAACCCAGGGCCCTGGTGCAGGATTGAACTGATGTTATGTTTTATCAAGTTGCATTTTGTTTTTCCTGAACTAGTGGCTCACCAGGACCAATGAGCTAACAGGTGAGCCAAGCAGTGTGACTTATAGCACACAAAATCACTATAGCCTCAGTGCCCCTCTGATCTGGATGGGTATGTTCTGACAGCACTGCCCAGGTCCCTGGCTATGTGCTGGAACAAGGAGAGGGGACAGGGACAGACTTGTTGCTTTCAAGGCAAAGAGGATTTCCTTTGTTGGAATAATGAGGGTTGATGGGGAGGACTTCTCCTTGGCTGCATGCTGGAAGACCACTGCACTCCTCTGCTTACAGATGGACAGGGGTAGGGTGGAGATGAGTTTGGGACCTAAGGTCTTTCGGGTGCCTCAGCCAGTTTCGTCCTCTGCAGCAGGGATGTGGTGCTCTTGAGAATTTGAGGAAATGTTCCAGTTGTCCAGCCAGGTATGGTGGTGCATGCCTGTAATCCCAGCACTCGGGTTGCTGAAGCAGGAGGATCACCATGAATTCGAGGTTAGCCTGGGTGAGTTCAAGGCCAGCCTGAGCTACATAGTGGGACTGTCTCAGAAAAGAGAAAAAAAGTTCCAGTTGTTCATCTAACTTCACTAGACCTTTGTCTAAATTTCACTGGCCAGGGGAGAGAAATGGGCTAACATTTGAACAAGGAAGTCATCAGGCCTGTTTCCACCTCTGGTGGCTATGAAAAGGACCTGGTTGTGAGAAGAGTCTCTCGCTCTCCTCCCTTCCTTTCTTTGTGCTGGGGATTGATTGAACCCAGGTGTATTCTACCACTGAGCTGCATACATCTTCAGCCCTTTTAAATTTTTTTAACTTGAGACAGTCTCACTAAGTTGCCCAGCGGGACTTGAACTTGTGATCTTCCTGCCTCAGCCTTCCAAAGTGCTGGGATCACAGATGTACACCACCACATCTGCTTTCCTTTCCTTTTTCCGGTTTGCTTTTATGTAGTTCTGGGTGAGCGGGCAGGGTGGTTGTGGAGACGCTGTGCTGGCAGGAGGAGGAAGAAAGAGCGGTGCCTCCTCCTTCTCCAGCTTGGATTGTAGGTATGGGTGGTGTGCCTGGTGGTTCTTGTGGGAAGCCAAGTTGATTGTTGCTGTCTCTGGCCTGGAATGTGGTCTCCGAAGGAACAAGCTGGAGGATGTGACAAGAAGAGCTGAGTCTGCGGCAAGGGTTAGAGGCTTGGTAAGAGCTGCCCTTGCCCTACCTTAGGTTGGCTAGGCTGTCCTGAACTTGGGGTCATGGTGGGAGTGGAAAGCAGAGCTGTTGGCGGAAGCAGCTTGGGCCCCCACTCCTCATGTGTGTGCTTCTCTTGGACTTGGGTGATGGCAGTTGTGGCCAGAGCTGTAGCTGTATTTGTCAGTGTTCCTCTGACTCGGCATGGGTCTTCCCAGATCAGGAGACCAAGATGGTGCATGTTGGGGTTAGAGGTAGGAAACAACCAGAGCTGTGCCCTCTGACAGGCTCCCCCCAAGCTGTTGGTTGTCTCCCAGGAGGGGTCGAGAACCCTGGTGCTCAGTCATATAGCTCAGCTGGAGACACCAGAAGCCAGTGCTGGTGCGACAGGGGAAGGACGAGGGGGTGGATCTATTGTGACATTCGCCAGCTTCCGTGGTGTGAGAGTACTCTCACTGTGGCCCGTTCAAGCTGTCATTACATTGTCACCGAGCAGGGAATTGGAAAGAGATGTGTGCACTTACCTCTCTCGGGAACCCTTTGTCCCTGGTGGGCCTCGTGCTTCCCCAGGAAGAGCCGCTGTGCTGTGTGCAGCCCATGGAGAGGAATGGAATGGATGGCCCCCGGGACCCAGAGAGAGCCTGGAAGGGCCAGGGTGACATGTGGTGGCTGACTTGGCAGTGCCCTGCTGAGAAAGTGCCTGGGCGTGCACCTGCCAGAGGTGTGCAAGGCCCGTGATGCCCATTCTCGCACGCCCTAGCGCCTTCGCATTGATTGCAGTGAAGCAGACACTGCCTGTCCCCCGCGCCCTGTGACTTACCTTATTAAAAACTACTTTGACTGCAGATACGGACTCAGAGGAAGACGAAGACTTCCTGAAGGACGAGTGGCCTGGCCAAGGCCCCTCCGGCTCCAAACTGACCTCCTCCCTCCTGTGTGGCATGGTGGCAAAGAACGGCAAGCCAGCCGCAGGCCCCAAGCTGACCAAGAGGGGCCCGGTGGCCCCCCGGACTCTGAAACCCAAGGCGGCCACCAGCAGGAAGCAGCCATTCTGCTTGCTGCTTCGAGAGGCCAAGGCCCGCTTGTCCTGCAGTGACTCTTCGGAGGACTCGTTTGACCAAGGTTACTAGCTCCACACACAAAATCTCTTCCGTGTTTTAGAGCGAGAGTGAGTGTGAGCGCGAGCGAGCGAGAGAGAGCACGCGTGTGCACAGCAGGGATGGCAGCTGCGGCCATTGCCCGATGGCCCAGGAAGCAGCCGTCTGGTTCTTGGCAGCGTAGCCTGCCGTATCCACCTCTTTTTATTTTTGTTTTTATTTGTACTGTATCATTGTGATTAATACCATTGCCCAGCTCTTTTGAGCTTCCCTCCAACTGGTTTTTGGTCTTCACTTTTCTCCTCTCCTCTCTCTGCTCCCCTCCCTGCCCTGAGGCTCTGCACCTTTCCTGCCCCCCCCAGAATGCAGGCCTGGGCAGGGAGCTCTTGGCCTGGGCCCCGGCCCTAGGAGCATTTTGTAACTGGACCTCTGTCGTGTGGGCGTGTGACTTGATGTTTGTACCGCAATTTTGGTAATACCAAGCTTTATTAAACATACCGAGTTCATTTTTAACTAAACCGTGTGCCTTGTCTCTCTTGCTGTGTCCTTACTAGACCTTAGGTTGCCGCTTCCCTTCATTTGTTCCTCCTCCCTCCTCCCTCCCGCTCCTCCTCCCTACCCCAGAGGGAGTGGAAGTGGCTGCTGCTCCTCTCTATTATTCAGATATCCCTGGGAGCTCTGGCATCCATTCCATTTTTCAGGCGGACAGTCAGCCACCCTCACCTCCAGCATCATCTTTTTTTTAAGCTGCTTGTTTGTGTTTTATTTTCTTAAAACTCTGCTCTTACTCACCAGTGGTTAAACAGTATTAACATAAACACTTGTCTTCTAACACATATTTCTGTTTTGAAGGGCATGTAGGCAGTGCGGGGTCAAGGCCGTTGACTGGCCTTGGTTTTTGTCGCTAAATTTGAAAGTGTTGGCCTCATGGCCGCTTCTGGGGACAAAGTGCAGGACTTTGCGGGGAGAGTGCTGGCTGCGGGTCTCTGGCCTGGTTTGGCCTTCGCTCAGCCAGGGTTCTTCAGCCACTTCTCCTCTTAGGAGAAGGTCAAGCTCCACGGCTCCCAAGAATATTCTCTAACAACAGAATGGGACTCCGGGGTTAGAAATGTCTGAGCCCTCAGGCCCTTCAATCAGAAATGTCCCAAGAAGGGGAAGCAAGTGAAAAGGCCTGCTTCAGGATGGATTCCCTTTAGGGCTAGGCCATGGGGTCCTCAGAAACCCTGGGTAGCAATACCTGGATGTCAGCTGCCTCATCAGGAAGGTCCCAGGTGTCATAGTGAGTCTGGATGTGACCTGGCTCAGACCCCTGGGACTAGAACACTGCCCATTTCAGCTCCTGCTCCTGGGCTAAGATCTCCCCTCCAGATCAGCAGGGTGTGGGGACAGCACGCTGGGAGCTTGATGTCCTTTGGGCTCAGGTCCTCCTGTCCCGCTGCCACATCTCAGAGAGTGCATCCTGGGCTAAGAAGTGAGGCCACTAACCACCCAGTGAGGCCTCCCGCCAGTGAGGCCTTCCCTGCCCGGCCCTCTGTGGATGAGTTGCTTGGCTTGCCCCTCCTTGCCTCTCCCTGGCCTTGGCTGGACCTCTGTGTCCCTTCTCCACCTAGCCCTAAAGCCAGGGTTCCCGCTTCCTAGCTTTTGAGCACTCCTGCCCCAGCTCAGACCCCACAGAGAAACAGGCAGCCCCCCAGACCTCTCAGGAAGGGGCCAGTTGCCCCAAGGCAGGGCCCAGGGCTGGATACAGCAGGGCCAGTGCACAGAGCCCAGGTAGGAAAGTGGGGGCTAAGGTGAGAGGCTCAGCTTTTCAGTCTGCCCCCCACAGCAAAGCAGATGGTTGATGAGGTCTTAAGGGATACTTGGGTAATAGGGCCTTACTGACCTCCTGGTACTAAAACACTTAATTGGCTTGGCTTTTCTAGTGTGTCTGCTTTCTCCTCCCAGCAGCTTGACCATACCTCCACCCTTGACCCCTACCCATGATGCTTTGAGTGTCTGTTTCGGTCTCTTGCATTTGCTCTCCCGCTGCACTCTGGACGCAAAGCGAAGGCTGGGAGTAGGGCAGACGGCGCAGCGGGTCACGGAGCTTGGGTCTGAGCCTGGCTCGTTGCTCCGTAGGTAGGCAAACCCTTTTCTTTCTGTCCTCTGTACACCCACCTCCTCGGGGTCTGCCCCCACCAGGTCTGGCCGCAGCACATCACCTTGGCGCTTACGGGTTTTGGGAAACCAAACCAAGTTACAACAGCCAACCCCTTGTCCCGAGCCAAGATTAAAAAAAAAAAAGTTTTTTTTGCATTTCCTTAGGGTGTCTTTGTTGGGGCTTTTCTCCCCCCTGCCCTTGGCAATGCTGCCCTTGGCAATGCTGCCCTTGGCAATGCTGCCCTTGGCAAGCTCTGCCTCAGGTGTGAACAACTCCAGAGAGGCATTCTTGGCCCTCGGACTCCCACTCCTTCCCTGCCCCCACAGACATGGTCCGAACAGCCCAGTGTGACTCACCCAGCACCAGGAAGGCGGCCGGCAGGATTGCAGGATGATCTGCATGTCCCTTATGCAGGTGCTTTTTGTGGGCTTCTGCCTTCCAGTGTTTTGCCGTTGCAAGGTGCTGGGCCTGGGCCTGGGCCTGGCCTTCTGCTGGCTTCCTGGGATCTGATTTGGCTTCCAGAAAGCCAGGGCCTCTGGCCTTCCCCACCAACCTAGTAGCTGATCCTGGAGGGAAGATTTCGGGAGTCTGGAGTCTCCACACCCAAACAGCCAGGGCAGGATATTTTTGGAAGGGAATGTGCCCAGCCCTGTGCCCCCACCCCAGCCAGCCACCCGCCCAACCCCCTCCCCATTTGGACAACCCCAGGGGGGCCCGATGAGGGGGACCCAGGCGCTGTCGAAAGTCTGCCTACACTTAGCCTGCTTTGCCGCTGTGGCCCACTGGGGCGGAGACAGAGCCATGTGACGTCGCAATGTGAATGATCGCAAGTGTGCACGGCCTGCCTGCCCTGCCTGCTTCATCCATCGCCTCGGGAGCCCGCTCCCGCCTGCACCCCTGTAACAAGCCTCTTCTCTGCTCCTCGACTCCCCTGGCTCCTCACCACCTCCCCCTCCCAGGGCTACCCTGCCAGGAATCCGGGCACCCTGCAATAAATGGGTAGAGGACAGAGCTCTTGCCCTTGGTGGCACCCTTGGGGGTACCACTTTTTGGCCACTAGTTGCACTTAACCAAGTGGCAGCTTGGAGCAACGGCAGGAGAATGTGGACTTGGTTACTTGTCTCCCTGGTCCATCTGCTGAGCCCAGGGTGTGTGTGTCCTGCCACTTCTGCTTCACAGAGCCACTTCCTAGCCCAATCTGGACCCTGCTTTGGCTCCCAGTGCTCTGGCCTCCAGGCAGATGGGCACGGGGTACCTGCCCTCAAAGCTCCTTTGCTGTGTGTCAGATGCCTCAGCTGGGCTGTCTCCCAGGGAGGGTAGGGACAGCCTCTCTTTGGCAGAGGGATTGGTTCACATGCAGGGAGCCTTGTCATGTTTAGCTTTCCTGGCCAGCCCCGGTGCCCAGCCTTCCTGGTCCTGAGAGCCCTAGCTGGCTGCTGGGCCAGAGGCTGTGGAGAAGCCCATGCTCAGCCCTCAGGAGACATCCTGAACTTCTTCAACCGGCCCTGCTGCTGGAGCCCTCGGCCTGAGCCTGTCTCCCGGTGCGCCTTGCCCGCCCCGCGAGCTTCCCAGAGGGTCGGGGGGCAGAGCCTGCTCAGAGCTGTCCTCAGCCGCACAGCACGGTTCCTCGGCAGCTCCTCTCCAAGGCTGTCTCTTGACCCTCCCTAGACCGGCAAAGCACTTTCCGTGTGGACCCTCCCTTTAGCTGGGCTGGTTGGCTGGCGGATAACCTATGCCGCAGCTGAGAAAATGGGGTCAGCGAGGCTGGGCACCTGACTGCAGGCTCCCCAGGGTGGGGACCTTGCTGGATGCCAGCTTTGGACTCTAGAGCCCTGCCCTGGGCTGGGATACAGCATCCCCATCAAGCCCCCGAAAGAGACTGAACTCCACCTTCTCCTGCCACCAGCCCCAGGTCTCCAGCTGGCAAAATGGCCGCAGGCCCCTTGCCTGGGAGCCCTGCCCGAGCCCATCCCCGCCCCTCCTCCTCCTCCTCCTCCTCCTCCTCGTCCTCCTCCTCCTCTTTCCTCGGCCTTTGCGTCTGTCGGGGTGTGTGTGCGCGTGTGTGACCGTGGCGAGCACTGTCTCCAGTCCTGTCTGTGTGTCTGTCCCCTGCCCACAGCACACGTGCATGTTGGTGCTCCCCACACACAAGTCCACCTTGACACCCAGAGCCACTGCCCCTCTGGGCCATCCAGGATGCCTGGGGTGGTGGGCTCTGGTGGGTGGAGGCCCGGGGTGAGCACGGGTGGGACTGGGCGGGTTCGGGATCTTCCCCCAGTGGCCACGTGGTGAGGATGGAGGGCGAGGCTGGAGCTGTGGCCGCTCCAGCCCCAGGGGGAAGTGGGTGGCGGGCGGTGGGGGGCCACACACGCTGGGCCAGAGCCCTGACTTGCCCCCTGTTTTCTGCACGCCAGATGAGACCTCCGAGGAGGATGAGGAGGAGCTGGAGGAGGAGGAGGACGAGGTTGGCGGCGGCTATAGGCTGGGAGCTCAGGAGCGGGCACTGTCGCCAGGCCTGGAGGAGAGTGGGCTGGGCCTCCTGGCCCGCTTTGCCGCCAGCGCCCTCCCCAGTCCCATGGTGGGACCATCCCTGTCCGTGGTGCAGCTGGAGGCCAAGCAGAAGGCCCGGAAGAAAGAGGAGCGGCAGAGCCTGCGGAGTGAGTGTCATGGGGACCGCAGGGAGCTGCTGGCACGCCGTTGGCCCATCCCACAGATGAGGAAACTGATGCTCAGAGATGGGTAGAGGCAAAGCTGGGGAGCAGTGGAACACCTGGGGCCAACTCTGTCCCAAGCAGAGCAGTGCTGGTGCCGGGGCTGGTGACGAGAGTCCTGGCTGCTTCCCCAGTAGGGTCTCTGGCTGCTCAGGGAATGGCCACTCCACCTTTGTGCTCCTGCTGAACATGGCCCTAAATTGGGTCCTGGAGGCTGTGGAAGCCCGGGAGAGGCCCCAGCCCACTGTAGGCTGGTGACGCCCAGCCAGCCCAGGAGAGATATGGGTGGTGGCTGAGAAGGAGGTGTGGGGGGAAGGGCCAGCCTGGGCAGAGGGAGGAGGATGGGAAAGCTGATGGCGTCTAGGGCCCTGGAGACGTGTGGCGCGGTCTGTGAGCCAGTGGGTAGCCAAGGGCTGGAGGAGTCGGGGTCAGCAGGTGCTGTGCTGGGCTCCAGTGAGCAGGGGCTGTTGTAGTGGATTCTCACGGTCCCCCTGAGACCAGGTTACCCTCCCACTACCCCATGGCCTGCAGCTGTAGCACTAGCCCTCGAGCAGCAGGCTCAGGCTCACCCTGGCTCCACTTCCTTCGTGTCTGTGTCTGATCCCATCCAGTGTCAGGGCCCGTGTCCCTGCTGATGCCCCAGTGTCCTTTTCTCAGCAGTAAGAGCAGCATACTCCACCCTCCCCGGAGGGCTGCATGGGAAATGGGGACCACAGACCTGGCCCTCTCCAGGCTTGCCTCCACTTCATGTGTCTGGCAGAAGCCTCCAGAGGACTCTCCCTCTCTCCTTCTCTGCTCAGAATTGGCTCCCCACTGCCTTCTGTTGGACACCACCTGTCTGTCTGTCCCTGCATCTGGATCCTGTCCACAGGTTCTGATTTGCCACCAACCACTGTAGTCCTTCAGGTTTTTGGACTTCTGTCCCTGCGACCCCAGGCACCCATTTCATCGCAATTATCAAATGTATCATCATGTAGTTCGAGTTACTCCTTTTATACCTTTAGTGTCAGAAGGCTCTCTAGCGATTTTTCCGTTTTCCTTGCCAATTCAGATAACTTATGTCTTTTCTTTTTCCCTTGGTCACACTGGCTAGAAGTTATCCATTTCATTGACTCCTGCTGTGTTATTTCCTTCCTTCTGTTTTCTTTGAGCATAATTTGCAACCACTTCCATTTCTTAAGGTACAAATTTAGGTCATTGATTTCGGACAGCGCTCTTTTCCAGTAGACACCGAAGGCTCCAAACCTCTGTCTAAACACAGCTTTAAGTGCATCTCACACTTTTTTTTGGTGTTTTTTTGCATCTCACACATTTTGATCTGCGGTCATATTTTCACTGTCAGTTCTTCTCTCTTGTGATTTCTTTGACTCAGTGATCACTTAAAAAGATACTTCTAGCTACTTGAGGGAAGTACCTGGTTATCTTAATCTTACTCATTTCTAATTGGATTCCATCATGGTTGGAGAACATTCCCTATAATTTCAGTCTTTTAATTTTTTAAGCGTCTGAAGACCTATGGCATTTCCTAGTGAATGCACTGTGTGTGTTCTGATGTAAGGTACTCTGTAAACATGAGTCACAACGGTGTGACCAGTAGTGTTCACATCTGCATCTTACTGGACTTTTTTGGGTCTAGTTCTATTAGTTTCTTAGAGATATTAAAATCTCCCACTGTGATTGCAGAATTCTCTAGGTCTCTTTTTAATCCTGTCAGGTTTTGCTCTGTGTATCTGCAGCTCTGTTATTCGGCACATATGTGTTTGTGATTATTGTGTTTTCCTCAACTTCGTCTTTGTTATGAAGCGTTCCTCTCTACCTCTGGTGATACCTTCTGTTTGGACCCATTTTATCTGGTACACAGTTGCTTCATCTTCCTTATGCTGGCCATTTCAATGGTGTATTTTTTTCTGCCTGTTCATTGTCATTTTGTCTTTTTCTCTGTGTGTGATACTGGGGATTGAACCCAGGGCCTTCACAATGAGCTGAATCCCCAGCCCTTTTTTATTTTGAAACAGTCTCATTAAGTTGCCCAGGCTGGACTTGAACTTTTGATCTTTCTGCCTTGGCCTCCCAAAGTGCTGGGATTACAGGTGTGCACCACCACAACTGCCTATCTTATTTTATCTTTGTTTTTATATTTAGTGTAAGTTTCTTATAGACAGCATATGCCTGGGTATTCTTTAATCCTTTATATAATTTCTGTCTTTTCATTGGAAAAATATTTATTGCAATAAATGCATAATAATATATAATATTAATATGGGTAGACTTGAATCTACCTGCATAGTATCTTTGTTGAGATATAATTCACGTACCATAAAACATCTTCACAATGTACACCTCAGTGGTTTTTATTGTATTTAGAGTTGGGGAACCATCCATTGTTATCAGTCTCATCACCCCAAAAGGGAACCCCAGTCTTACTCTATTCCCACACAACTCCAGCCCTAAGCAACTGCTTCTTTTGGATTTATCTGTTCACTTTTTATTATAAACGAAACTGTAATGCATGGCCTTTGTATGTGGCCACCCGGTTTCCAGGCTCATCCATGTGGTGTGATGTGGGTCATGCATCCTTCCTCTCTGTGGCTGAATCACCCTCCCTGCATAGCCATCTACTGCATCTTATGCACTCATCACCTGACAGCACTTGGGTTGTTTGCATTTTTAGGTTTTTGTGGATAAAGCTGCTAGGAATATATGCATATGGATTTTTGTGAGGACATGTTTTCAGTTCTCTTAGTGGAATTGCTGGGTCATTGGGTAGCTGTAACTTTTTTTTTTTTTTTTT